AGTGAATGATGGCTTAAAAAATTTGATTGGATGTCCTTTCGACCGAGTTCGGACATAAAGGCGATAGCAATAATCGTTATTTTGATTTATTTTAAAATTTGTAAAAATTTGAAATTTTTTGAAAATTTGAATTCCGGGGATATTTTTGAACATCAAGCTCCAAATGAATTTAATCATAGCTTAAAATATTTGGCTTAATGCCATTCAGTCGAAGGTAAAAGATGATTACCGATAGGTATATTGGTTGATTTGATTTTTATGATGATTGTTGAAAATTTCGAATGTTTCAGGAATTTCTCTGAAAGTGAGCATTCTAATGGTTTCTGTAAATATGATCTTTCAAATTCATTCAAGTATATGTAAATACAATTTTTCTATTAACCGAATTGTATCGAAGGGTTGAGGGGAGAGATAGAACTGTAAAAAAGATAAGGAATAATAAGAATAATGATGATGATAACATTCAACTACGTTGAAAATTTAACAAAATTAGTTAAAAAGAAATCTTATTCAATTTAATAAAATGAACCAAACTACATATGAACTATTATATACACGATAGAAGGAAATGATGTGCAAAATAATCCTTCAGAAGCATATTGCTAATTTATTAGGAAAAATCACTATACTATACAATACAAGAGCAATTTCCCACTTGTTTAGAAATATGTCACTGATTTCATGGAATCTATCATCAACTATTGGTGATACTGAACACTGACTAGACCGTCATTAGTGATGTTTATCATTGAAAATCAATGATATTGCTCTGAAAATTAGTGATGTCCCTGAAAATTAATATCGCTGTCACTGGAAATGAGTGATAATGTCATTGAAAATTAATGACAAAATTATTCAATTTCAGTTTTGCATTCACAAAATTTCAAAATTCGGAATCCCTAATAATTGAGGATAAATTTCTGAAAATCAATTATATTGCTCTGAAAATTAACGATGATGTCGCTGAGAATTAGGATCTCTGTTACCGGAAATTAGTTGTGAATGTCACTGAAAATTTATGACAAAATCACTCAATTTAAAATTTGAGCACTCACCAAATTTCACAACCATGAATCCCTACTAATTAACCCCTCACGGACGGGGCCCTTCTGTTACCAAGCGTAGTGTGTGCTCAATCCTACTCGAATTCGATTATTTCTAATAAATGGAAAATTATTAAATCGGTATCTAATTGAAGCTATAGTATTCCGGTTGCCAATTGTGTTTGTCTGATCAAGTTATTCTTCATAGTTTTGGAAATAATCAATTTTGAAAACAGGCATTCACATTCGCATGGGTCGATACCATGCTTTGACCCCGTACATGAGGGGTTAAGGATAAATTCCGGAAAAACAGTGATATGTCCCTGAAAATTAAAACTTTTTTTCTCTGCGAAATTCAATGTACTATGTTTATAAAAAAATATACCGTCAATATAGACCAAAAATATTTATAACAGCGCAGCTAACTTCCCTTATACAGTACAGACGCCTTTGCCTTCGCCATTGATATTTCTTCTTCAACTGTTTGGAATGCCTGCAGTGAATAATCCACGATCATCCATTTTAATTTCGACGTTTCCATTCATCAGGTAGTGCAAAATCACTTAACTGGTACCCAACAAAATGACTAATTGCTGAAAATCACGAGGATAAAATGCCTAGGCTGCATCAATTCAATACCCTCTGAAGCATGCGTGTCGTTTGAAGCCGTTTGCACCAGTCAGTTCGTCCTTACTCCACGAGAAATACATTGGGTATTATTTCCCAGAGACACGAAACTACATTTCACATTTTCCAGCAAGACCTCGCTATAGGTAACAACAACCACCTCAGGTTGAATCGATTCAATTTTGCCTGGTGGATTACTCAACCGTCACTTCGCACGAGTGATGGTACAGCCTAATAAGGTCAAATTGCGAGGACAAATGAAGAGGATAAAAGTGGAGAGTGCGATGATGGGCTGATTTAAAAAAGAAAAAAAATCTTCGTGATTGTTTTTCCAAGCTTGGATTAACTGTGACTCTCTTATCAGATAATTCTCAATCACGTGGACAGCGGCAATCAGTGGAGGATTCTCTCAGGGGATTGCCCATGGAAATTGCATCGACCGTGTGTACAAAATACAAGAAAAAAACATGGATGAGAAAATATTTGATGAATAAAGTGGAAAATTCTGAAGTTGAAAATTTCATTTTCCCATCCTAACAAAAACTGATTAACTTTGAATTTTTAAATCTTTTATAGAATAGTTAATTGGAGTTGGAAACAGAGAAAAAATAAAAGAATGCAGAATGATGAAGGTTATTTGTGGAATGGTTATTTGTGGAATTGTACAAATTACGGAACAATGCACTTCATCCGCAATAGGAAATCGTTTTCCGGCAATTTTTATAGGAATGGAAGAGAAGAAATCTGAAATGTTCAGTGAATTTTCAGGTTCATTGCCGAACAAAGTACGAAATTGTCACGTAATTTTTCCCGAAGAAGTAAAATCTTACAGAAAATTTCCGACTTATTGTGCCTCCAAAATTAAAAATTCTTGAACGTTCAACAATTTTTATGAAGCTGGTCAGTTATTTCTACGTTCCGTTCCGTAAAATTTCTCAATCGTTGGGGAAAAATTACGGAACGACTTGTTGTCCCCACAGCGGGGTGAGTCATCAGACGAGTGGTTAATTTTTATGGAACAAATGGTAGAATTTACGTGGCGATTCGTACAATTTCAGTTCCGACTCACTCTTTTTATTGAATTTTACTTCGCCTGCGGATTACGTTCCGAAACGTAATTTTTACGTTTTATTTTCGGTAATTTTTATTGAATTTTTTGTCTGTGCAAGCAAAAATTTTTTTATCAACTTTTGTTTACTAACTTTTGTTTTTATTATTGGGAATATTGATGGAAATAATATTTTCCCATTCAGCAGAATGGAAAATTATTGAAAAGTTTTGACGGGACAAGACTTTGTCAATGGATTAATTGAAAAGAAAATGAAATAGCAAAATCCAAAATCCAGAAAAAGGCCCAGGAAAGACCAAGGGAGGGCGGGGGGAGAGGAAAATGTGATGCTGAATTTCAATCGAATGAAAAAAGAAAAGTGTAATCGCCCTAATCTAATCAATTGAATTATAGATGAAATATTTCATATTACTTGAACAGGGAACTGTGGATAAAATCAGTGAAAATTATTAATATTGTCGTCTCGATATAAAATATATATGAAAAATCTTCGGGAGTTTCGAATGAGGAGAGAACATAGACTCAGCGATGACGAGGTCTTAGTTTAGCTGCTGGAGAGTTAGGGGACAAGCTGACTAGTGGACGTTGAGATCGAGATCTAACAGGGAAGTGGGATTCATCTGTGGAGGTAGTTGATACACTATATAGGAGTTTCGAATATCAGTGATTTTTTCGCCCCCCATGTCCTTTTCTACAGAATAGAAAATTATTATTCTTATCAGCACTCCTAATAATAAAAAAAAATTAATACAAGTTGATTTAAAAAAAGTTGATTTAAATAAATTTTTTTTTTGCTTGAATTGCGTCAAAAAGTCGTTTTTCGGCTGTTTCATTCTGCCTCACTCTCCCCTACCCATTATGAATAATTAATAAATAATTAGTCTCGGATTAAAATTAAGTTCTTTTTCTTCTGTACATTTTTTCAGTGGGAGAGCATTGTTGGTGTTCTTAAATAAAGAAAAAATCAAGGTTCTTAGTTTAAGAAAGAAATTTTCTCCGCGATAAAAGTGTTCATTTTCTTCACTTGAATAGCCCTTGAATGGTCGCAGCTCTGCGCCGAACGCAGTTGGTTGCATGCTAGGAGAATCCCTGAGCTGTGCTTTTTACGATTTCATAAAAAAAAGTTGGAAAAAATAATTTATTCCTCGTTTATGGGTAATTTCGAACCTTCAATGAATAGGAAATGGGGATATAAAAGGGAAACAGTCCTCAGATGGCTGAAAAACGCGATCTCATCAGGTACACAATTTAGAAAATTTAAAGTGTTAAACGGATTTTCGGGATTTTCAGCGAGTCGAGCTTTCAAAAGATTTTAATTATTTATTGGTGTAAGTCTGGACCAAAAAAATTGTTAATGCATTCAATATATCAGAAATTAGGAATACAAATTTTTCTGAATTTTGCATTCACGAAGTTTTTGTGTCATAAGGAAAAATCTAAAAACGACGGGGATTCCATCACCGCATTCAAACAAACTGTTTTCTGAGTCATGAGAAAAAAAATCCGTTCCTAGATCCAGGACAATTAACCATTATGAATTTAGAAAAGAGATTTCTTCTTTGCTAATGATGTTTGTTTTCTGCATTTTACGGGTGAAAGTTTCAAATTGAGTTTTTCCGCTCTACCGGCTTTGTGTTCAGACAGTCTCCCTTCCTCATTCATTTTTTCCGCTCCATTAAACCTCCAAAAAAACCACAGGCCCCTATTTTTTGCTTGGATCGATACATCTTGAACATTTCACCAATCAATTACCCGAATTATGGATACCCCATTGAGAAGCCACGAGCAAACAAGCCTAGGGTTATTAGGAAGCCGTATTACGAACTCGTTTACCCAGCGAAGGCACTTCACCCCGTTACCACTGACAGTGACTTGTCCCGCCACTGTCAACAGACCGGCTCGATGCCTTCTAGAATTCATCCATCTGTTACTCCTGTATTATTGATCAAGTAACCGAGAACGATAATATTGAATATCCGTTGGATTTCCAATACAAGCGAGGGAAAAACCCCCTGCGCGTGCATTCCCTGATATAATATGTGAAGGAAATAAACCAAAGAGGTGAAAAGGAAACAATCAAATAAATAAATATATAAAGAGGGTAAAAATCGAATGCCTCGGAGCGTGTCGAAGCCGCATGAAACATTGAGGTGGAAACAAATATATCGAATTTATTGTGGAAATAACGGAAAGGCACTGTGCTGCACGCGAATCAACTGGCTCGAAAAATTGCATTGTATTCTCAAAATCTTTATACGTACGATGCGCAATGTCTTCTTACTCCTTTCAATGGCAATGACAAATCCCGCTCCTGCAACAAAGAAAACGATACAACATTTAATATCAGAAAAGAATTATTGGGAAATTACGCCCGAAATTCTACGTGAAAAACCTTAACGAAAGATTTTTGTGAAATCTTCGTGGATGTTGTCACTGAAGAATCTGGTAATTTCATGAACTTCCAATGAGATTTCAATTTTCGTCAGATGCATGACAATTAAAATGATCGAAATTTGTCAGATAACTCTCATGAAATCGACATTGTCCCATAATTACATTTTTTAATATAATTTTTTAAATGTAGGGGAGGGTAGGGCAAAACGGAACCCTAGGGCAAAACGGACCACTGACAGGAAATTGATAATTTTTTAATTTTTTTCATAGGTTTTTGATAGCAAAAGCAAAAATTCAAAATCATTTGTGGTTTAAGATGATTAGCAAATATGATCAAATTACGGTTTAACGACACTTCTGGTCTATTTAATCCCTGTGACGATTATGATCCTGAAACTCCCTTTTAATTCAACACATTCAGTGTTCCTGATTTGAAGGAAAGAAAAAAAACAAAAATTAGCTATTTTCTATCAGTGGTCCGTTTTGCCCTAGGGGTCCATTTTGCCCTACCCTCGCCTAATTTTTGAGTTGTTTTCATGGTATTTTGTCTGAAAATGCTTTTATGTTACTAGGTCTGAAAAACCGCGATTCTTCCTGTACATGTACAATAGGCTCCTGTTATATTCAACGTACGAGTACACGGAGAACAAAATCGACGAAAAATTTTAGTGCTTGGCACTAGAAATGAGGCGCAAACTGTCAAACTCCCATTCTTCATTCGAAATAAGAATAAAAATTCAAGATGAGCACGAGAAATTTTGCTGTAGGTTCATTCATTTTTGCAAGGACGCTCGAGACAAAGGCTAGAGCTACACTGAAAGAAATCGACATAATGTCACAAAACTAATTTCTTGCGTCAAATATCTCATTTCTTAAGAATAAAGCGCCAGGGATAAAAATTTCGTATAATGAGTCTCAGACCGTGTAAGAATCCTCTGAAATGTTCATGACTTGAACGCGAACTCATGGCGATAAAGTGACAATTTCTTGCCTCAAGGCATCGTTTATTTTGTGTCAAAAGATGAGAAAATTATTGAAATTATTAAATTATTATTATTAAAATTATTAAATTATTAAAATACTAAAAGCTTCGATTCAGTGAATCATGGATTATAGAAAATTTCATATTGAATGAATACAAAATTGAATAAATACAGGGGAGAACCTTCAGATATTTCAAAAATATAACCGTCACTTGCTCTCAATCGCAATGAGTCTGAAGGAAAGCAATAACATCTTTTCCTCCTCTCAAACTTACTTCGGCACTTCAGAAATATTATTCAATTTCCAGAAAAAAATATCATTTTTTCATTCAGTATCATCCTCCCTTTTCCCGAAGAACACGGATTTCTTGTCTGAAACCTACCAAGAAATTATTTTTGTCGTACACTAAGAGAAAAATCGACATAATATCCCAAGAATCATTTCTTGAGCGAAAAAACATCGCATACATATTTGATCAATTAATGGTAGATTTCAGACAACAAATCGGTGTTCTTCGGACTAGCGAGGAAGTTACTGAATGAACAGGTGATATATTTTTTTCGAAATGAGGTAATATTCCTTAAAAAACAAGAATAATTTAACAGAAGTAAAAGAAGATATTGCTTCCCTTCGAACTCAAAGCGATTGAGCGTAAGCGACAGTTATATTTTTTTTTCATTGCTCAAGCCCAAAAAGGGCTCTTTTACCGACGGTAGTTAAGCATGAGAAGTAGGTCTTTTTACCGTTGAGCAGTATAAAAGTGAGAAATGCACTACTTAGGAGTGAAAAAGTGAGAATTGCACTCCTTAGGACTGAAAAACGTGTGGCGCCACCCCAGCGTTAATGTACCAAAATATAAAACTACATATAAAAACTGATAAATTCAGCCAGTGAATCCCCTTCATTATCTTCAAAATTGTTAAATTTTAAATTTGAAAATACACCTGAAAATTAAAATGAAAAATAAATTATTAAAAAATCTTAATTTTGATAATAATAATATTAGAAATATCATTTCATAGAAAATTTTTTATTGAAACTCTGAAATAAACTACAACGTAAACGCAAGAATAATACTCATAGTTNCTGTAAACCCCACACACGTTAAAGACGAAATTGCCCCACACGTGCTGAAATATACTATTATATGATACGTGCGTGTCACCGCATGGGTTTCAGTTGACTATAGTCAACTGGAAAGTATAGGGCTTCTAGCAGAAGTTTTCTCTTCCCAGGGTACCCTCACTCTACGTAATTACCACTCATATGCTTGTCCCCCACTCCAAAAATCTATGGATATTCTTCTGGAAGAATAGCTCTAGCGGGTTTCGAGCGCCTACCTACACTCAACTAAAACCCGAAATAACGCATGACGCGCATGCGCATCACCTATTAAAAGAGAATAACAAGGAAGGAAATCTAACCTCCGAATAGTGAATACATGGAATGACTGAAAAATGAAAAGGTGATTTTCGAAGCAGATAAAATGAGCCAAAATCGTATTATTTCTGATAGTGATGAAGAGTTAGGCAGTGAGGAGGATTTATTTACTGATGAGGAGGAGTTGATTGGTGATGTGACATTTGAAGAAAATGGAAATGAAATATTCTCCAATGAAGCAACAGCAGGATCGCCAAAAACTCTTTCTTCGATCAAATACTGTCACTTAAGGGCTTTATTGAATTCTAATGATCAAAACAATGTCAAGGAAACACAGAGAAAAATTATTTTTGCTTTTCAGAAACATGTCACTGAATTCACCGAAATTTCACTGCAATTTGATGATTGATTTCTAGAAATTAGTGATAAGTCATTGAGAATTCAGTAACGAAAATAAAATTTTTCAATCACACTTTTTTATAATTACTTTTTTAAATAAATGTGATCTTTTTTCTTCAGTGGGGGGGGGGGTCGCCGCCCCCAACCTCCCCACCGGGGGCTTCGCCCCCTGAACCCCCCTTTCTCGTGGGGGGCTTCGCCGCCCACACCCCCCCCCCCCCCTCCGCCCCCAAACTTCTTCACGCACTTATCATATAAAATAGTATACGCAGCACGTGCGGACAGCAGGCGGTATCACTCCAGCGGCGCAGCCTGAGTAACCGCCTGTTTTCCGCACTAGTTGCGTAATGTACTATTAGTTATTTTCTCATCTTCTGACACGAAAAAACCGATTTCTTGTGGCAAGAAATTCTCACTTTATCATGAAATGTTCATGTTCAAGTCATGAACACTTCACCAAAATCTGACATTGTCCGACAAATTGTCCGGAATTCTTATCCCAAGAAATTTATCCTCAAGAGATGAGATATTTGGCGCAAGAAATTAGTTTTGTGATATTATGACGATATTACTCTCCGTGCATGTCGACAAACAAAGGAATGTTCTAATTGAACAAAACATTTCCCCATTCTGTGTATCTTCAACCCCGATAAAAGTTGGCTCGAACCACTGCTTCAGATTATTCAAAGCATTTATAAGCATATACGAGCAAAGCAAATAAATTGTTGCTCCTCTGACAAGGGCATGAGATCTGTCTCCTTCGTGAAATAGAAAATCTAACCGTAAAAAAGGTTTGAATGCAACAATAGTCTGCATCATGGTGATTACATCAAGCCCTCCTGCATCCTTATATCCAGGAGAATTTCATCGTTTCGAGAGGGCTCTATTCCCTCTTTTTTCCCTCCTTCTATCTCTTCTTTATGTCGAGAAACTTGTCGAAAATGAGAAACATGTATAGTCGACTATACCAAGAGGATCTCTTTTCCTTCCTGGCGTTGGCTTGGGGAAAAGGGAAAAGATGAGATAGTGAGGAGGTGGAGGAGTGGGCGGCTCACTCGCACATCCGAGGATTTTCTTCAGGCTCGCCTGGCCGGAAATAACGTTTCTAGGAGCGCAGCAGTGAAGTGCCCGGTGAAACCGGTTTTAAACTCCCCGCGTAGAATTGCCCCTTGGCATAGTCGAGAGAGAATACGGTTAAACGAATTTATCTGTATATAAATTCTCGAGTACAGCGATTTTAACTGCTGAGTTGTTACAATGAAATTGAGAAAGGAGTATTAAATAAAAATGTATTGAAGAGAAGGGGTAAGTGGATGAGGTTTTTCTTTTTTTTTCTTTGTTACAATTGAATGGAGACACTCGCTGTTCTAATTAAGAATTTTTCTTCTTGCTGGGATGATTATGAAACCTTTCAGTACTGATTTGATGGATAATTCAAGCTGAGTTCTGAGTGGATATTCTTCATATAATTGACGCAAGAGCCATAAGTTCTAGGATTCATCGCAAAAATTGAATGCATTAAGTTTTCTGGTAATTGCTCATTGATTTTATACATGAGTGATTTCGGGGGAAATCGTTGGTGGATTTTTTTCGTAGTTGAAGCAATTTTCAACAAAAGATGTCTGTTGAAAGTTTCTCCTAAAGACCATCGGTGTTGGATAATTCATATTTTAGCAGTTTTAGATCCTGTAAATCTTTCTGAGTGATTATGTAGGAATTACTATGAGTACCGACGCATTAAATACATACAGGAACAAATAAAATTTGAATCGAAAACAATTTTTTAAATTTTTCCATCCAACAATTGGATAACTGGATTATTCATTCCGTATAATTAGAAAATTGTCATTGAAATAAGTCCATGAGCTTATTTATTTCCAACGAAACTATTGTTAGAATGAATATAAAAATTTTTAATTTTGGATCCAAAACAGTTTTTTAAAATTTTTCTGTTCAAAAATTGGATGAATAGATTATTCATTCCGTATAATTGAAAAATTGTCATTGAAATAAGTTCATGAGCTTATTTATTCCTAGCGAAAATATTGTTAAAATGAATAGAAAAATTTCCAAGAAATTTTTATTTGATTTAAATTGGTCATTTTTTCGGTGCACTATTAAAAAATTTTTAATTTCTAGTCAATTATAGAAAGC